CTTGCAATAATAATTTGCGTTTCTTCAGAAATACTGCGGTACACATGATAAAATTTATCGCCTGAACCTGCAACAAGATTAGGCAACCGGAGACCGCCAGCAATGTTAGCACCAGATCCATTTTGGTTTCACCGCAAACTCAAAAGATTGCAGGTGGAAATAATATCCGGATTCGAGAAAAAAAGCGGTTACACGACAAAACTTTCCGGATTCAAAAGTTATCGGATTCAAAGTTCCCACTTTAAATTCCGGATTCAAAATCTCCGGAGACACGACCAAACCGGGAAGTTTTTATTTCGGATTCGTCCACTTTCGTGTAAACGGCAGAATGAATCCGGTACTAAAACGTTTCGGATTCATCACGAGTCCGGAACAATTTCTTCTAGTGTAAACCTAGTCTAAGACTAGGTTTACACTAGAGGAGAGTTTTCCGGATTCGTAAATGTTTCCGGATTCATCAATTTTGGAGTATTCGGATTCGTAGGCGTTTACACTGAAAGGATATTCGGATTCCTGACCGTTTACACACAACGACAACTCCGGGAACATTCGAAATGGAATGGTTACCAAGCCCAGTGTTGTTTCGTCGTTCGATCGACAAAGTGAAAATGCCTCCCCCAAAAAAGGCTAGAGTAGATCCAGATGCCACTGAGGCAAATTTGAGTTGGACAGATGCCAAGCAGTCTACGTCGTCGGCGATTAAGTGTGGCTGACGTTAAACTTCCTTGCAATAATAATTTGCGTTTCTTCAGAAATACTGCGGTACACATGATAAAATTTATCGCCTGAACCTGCAACAAGATTAGGCAACCGGAGACCGCCAGCAATGTTAGCACCAGATCCATTTTGGTTTCACCGCAAACTCAAAAGATTGCAGGTGGAAATAATATCCGGATTCGAGAAAAAAAGCGGTTACACGACAAAACTTTCCGGATTCAAAAGTTATCGGATTCAAAGTTCCCACTTTAAATTCCGGATTCAAAATCTCCGGAGACACGACCAAACCGGGAAGTTTTTATTTCGGATTCGTCCACTTTCGTGTAAACGGCAGAATGAATCCGGTACTAAAACGTTTCGGATTCATCACGAATCCGGAACAATTTCCTCTTTCCTCTTGCATACGGATGCAGAAACTCTCACTAACTGGGCATGATCTAAACTCGAACATAAACTTCAGGCCAAAGCTTAATCAACCGAAGCCGATCGATCCTCCTTTGAGATAATTTTGTTCAGTGTGTTATGTATTTTCTTTGTAAAGAGCAAAGATTAATAGACAATCGCTATTGCTTATGTAATTAAGTGCGGTTAGACCAAAATGAAGTTTACCGAGGTACTTGATAACAAACCTGCTTTCATTAACTAAAAAACTAAACTTCTCCGCTTAAATTGAGGAGCTTTGGAAAATAAGCAACGTTGATCGAGAATAAATCGAATTACCGGGCTTCGAAAACGACCAAAGACAGAATTTGGCCTTTCCATAAACTTCGGAAAATTCAAGTGAAAACGTTCACCGTGAACATCTGTTGTCTAAATTACACTTGAGCAAAGAGATCGCTTTCTCAAGGGAAAAAATTGACTAAAATCTTGCTATTGATTACAGACGTGGGACACCAAAATAATATCACAATTTTCACTAAATTTTAGGTCGTAATTGAATTTTTTCATTTGAGTTTTACCTCAATGGACAATGTGGAGCCACTATTGTCTCAATAATTAACTGAATCATGGATAGTGGTTTGTACAAAGCAGCTTGTCAACTCCTAATCGGTTTGAGACTGTTAGAGTAAATAAGAAGTTGAGAAAACGGACCACTTTTTTTCTGGTTCAAAGTTTTACGCCCAGTTTGAAAAAGCACTGAAATGATTCTAAATCATCATATTTTTGGAATATTTTTACTTCGTGCATTCCTTCTATAAAAGAAAAACTGAATAAAATAGATAAGATAGGGCAGGATTTATGAGCCTAACAGTAACATGTAAACGATCCGATAGCTTCAATTTGTACGACCTTTTATTGATCACAAATAGAACTTATGACTGAAAACAGGAACTGTTCTTGCTTAAAAGAAATATTGATTCAATCGAGCCGGTCACGAGTGCACACTGACATCAAACTTCAAACTTAGCTTAAAATTGTAAAAACAAAGCAACAGAAAGATTTGAAAGTTTTATCTCTAATGATTATATTCAAATGAGGGAAAGGAGAGAGATGTTGTAGGATATTTCTTACAATGTACTTGGTTTTCCAAATTTACATTAGGGTCTTCATATCTGTCCAAAGCTGTATCATTAATGTGTTGAAGGATGTGTTGTCTGTCATTCTAATTTAACAAACTCTGTCACTTGGACCGGCACAAATTTTGATTGTTTGCAAAAAGAGGCTCTTTTGCAAACTTCCAAAAAATGGCATTCCGGTCACCAATTTCGGATGATCTTCAGAAAGATCGGTGTTAGAGTGTCGTTAAAAGGCCACTTCGAAGGCTTATGCACGCGTCTACGGTCTCTCTCGTTTGCGGAAGAGCCAATAGATAAAGTTAACGCTCAAAAATCAACCGGGGATTTTCAAAAAAGTGTTCCTCTCTTAAGCTTCCATTTGTGCTTCATCCTGTGGTATGTTGAATTTTTAGGAGCTTGGTCTTTCATTTACCATATTGGACCATTCATTCTATCATGTCGATGCCACCATGTTGTAATAGCAATGGGACTCGTCTAGTTGATTAAAATTGAAGTATGGAGAATCTTTCACCATCAATTCTTCAAGTGAAGCAATCATTTGGTCAAATGTGGGTCTTTTTCTGGGATCCTCTTGCCAGCAATTCAACATTAGTAAATATCTAGCGGAGAAGAAAGGAGAATCTGTCACAAACAACGAGAGGGGATAGCGGAACGGTCTAATAAATTACGAAATCAGTGTGTTGAATTCCCGCTTCCTATCCTCTCCTGAATGCAATTAGTTCACGTTACGCTCTTAGCATGTTACTGATGCATCCTAGATACTTTGAGCATGATTTTGAAATCCTGTACACTTTAAAATCTTATGAAAGGTACAGAGTCGCACCGATTTACGTACAATTCCTCTGAGCAGCTTTGTGGTCTTTCCAAACGATATCCAGTTTCGACAAGACTGCGCAGCTCGCTGTTTTTAGTTCCTGGATACGGTGTACCACCTGAAAGCAAACGTGGTATAATCAAGATCTCCCTGATAAACCTGTTTCCTCATTTCACGCCGAAAAAAATTGAAATATAACTGAACCATGAAAATTTTCGGAATCCGGATTTCTTTTCGGTTCTAAAAATCAAAACTCTGAGTAAAAAGTTCTCGTTCTCTTTGCACTTTATATAACAATATATTGCTCATTGAAGTCCGGGCTGATGAAGTGAGCCGATAAGCCCGCCTTTAATGGCAAACTCAGAAAAACTTGGTGCGCAAAGAGAAAAGGCCATTCATGTCAAACGAGTTCTTCTCACCTAATGTGGATATTTCCCAAAGGAGAATGCCATAGGACCACCTTAAATATACAAAAAAACAAAATGTATGAGATAAAGGCCGCATATTTAACATTTTCAACTTTTCACCCAATAGAAGTATATTTTCATTTATATCCTACGGTCAGAAAGCTGGTAGAAAGGTATGGGGGACAATTTTCAATTAAACTTAATTAATTTTCTTAATGCAGGAGTCTCCGCCAGCTAAGTAGTAGAGCATCTAAAGTCACAGTTAGTTCATAGTTGATGCCAAGTGTAGAAAAAATATTCAAAAGTAGCGACAATTATGCCAGTCTCAAAGATCAGATGCAAGGCGATTGTCCATGAACAAATTATAGAGGATATACCAAAACTTTTTTAGCGCTGTCAAAATTTAGAACAAGCTTCCTATCAAGATTAAAAAGGCCGGTTCAACTGATTCACTTTCTCAAGAAAAAAAATGTTAAGAATTACTATCTTTCACTCAATCCACTATAGCTAGGTATGAAATCTGTAACAAAAATAGCAAATATGACATTGTTGCTTTTAAGCCTTATATTAAAGTCATGTAACATCGATTGTAATTGACGATGAAAAAAGAAACTTTGACATGGGCTCTTTCCGTTAAGCTTCAAGAGGTTTAGAAGAGCTCCCTTCATGACAAATTTTCAATCTTAATTATGGTCGTTACATACCTACCAAAATGTATTTAATTTTGGGCAGATAGAGATTGACTAATTTGACTTGATTGACTTACGAACGTCGTTTTCCCTCTCATACTGATAAATAATGGTACAGTCCGACCTCTATTAAGCGGCCACTCCCGGGACTTTGAAAAGAGGACGCTTAATAGAGGTTGGCAGCTTAATAGAGGTACAATTTAAATTGGATAGGAATGGCAGAAATCAGGATTTTATTGACTCTATATAACAAAATACTTTAAAAAGTGAACATATGTGGAGATAAATCCAAAATTCATAGTAACAAAACATCAAGTGCATTTCCAGCCCATGCATAGTTTTGCCCATGCACGCATCCATGAGAATGAATTAAATGGCGAAACAGTTCTTGGACATGTTCCCAAGCTTATGGGAAAAATTTCTCAAGAGGCCAACAAACAAAGGAAGAGCTGTTGTGAAAGGCAAACACGTAAACAGGCTACGGTTTAGAAATTCCATGCGAGTACTGCTTCACAGGAGACAAGTTTTCAATTCAATGGTTAAAATCAAAACTTGAGGAGCAAGGATTTTTGTCGATTTCCAGTACAGTAGTAATAAAGTTTTCCTCTACAGATTTTGGTTGTAACAAAACAGTGGTTCAGCTCTATCTATTGTTAGCTATTGTTATGTTTGTATAGCGCCAGATGTGAAAAGTCTGCACGTGTATGTGGCTTGTGACTTGTTATAGTGGAGATTAAATTGCAGTTCTCGTTTTCTTGTAAGATAATTTGCTGGCCGCTTAATGGAGGTAAAAAGCCATGTAAATAGGGGCATATACAGGAGAAAGCTGACAGCAGAAAGCTGGCCGCGGCCGCTTTATAGAGGTGGCCGTTGAAAAGAGGTATCAAATACAGCAGTTAACTGAGAAATAAATCGGGACTTTGGAAAGTGGCCGCACAATGGAGGGTGGCCGCTTAATAGGTGGCCGTTTAATAGAGGTCGGACTGTAATTGAACTGAGTGAAGTGCAATTTGGGCTGAAATCATAAGCGTGATTTGAAATCACAAGTATGATTTCAGACCAAAATTGCACGATACGAGGTTCAATTACCACTTTATTGCATCCAATTTAAAATCGCCCAAATACAGGACTTGGCCAATTCATATATTTTACTGATGCAGTACTGAGCCGGTTTTTAAATGATAAGTGGAACCGGAAACGCTTTTACATCTTATTTTGTATGCAAAACAGAAAGACTGACGTCACGTGTAAAAATCTCAATCAAGCGTAAAATGATGCAATTTAGAGCAAAAAATAGTGCGCTTCGTGAATAAATCGCACCAATTAGAGCCAATCAGATTACAGGGACCACCAGTGATTTCAAAATGGATGTAATAAAAACATTTATAGCATCGATTTTGTCCTATTGATGCTGCAGATTAAGTTTATTTGTTTGTTACAGAAGATCAGCTTACACATCGCTCTGTGTGGTGTAAATACTGTCTCTGAGTGCTTCAGGTGCCGTCCATTTCACGGGAAGCTTTTTCTGTCTTTTGACCTCGTACAAATCCGAGTGGCGCATCAAACCGAAGTCAGCAATTTTGACAAGTTTGTCTTCTCCAACGAGGATGTTACGAGCCGCTAAATCTCGGTGAATGAATCCGTTGGCTGATAGGTAACTCTGCAGCGAAAAAAATTAATATTGGAAACACTGAAACTGGAAAAAGGTCTGCAAAAGTGAATAGCCTGAATAGCTGAATTTTTAACTTGGACAATTTGGTAAGTGATTGTAAGCCTCTCCTCTTCAACTAACTCAGTATAAAAGCAGCACAAACAAAAGATCTCCACTCAATATAGATGGTCTTGATGTAACACAGTTGATACTGAACCAAACTGAGATCTGGATAAAATAAGATGTTCGTTTGTTTTTATTGTTTCCTGGGAGAGGGGAGGGAGGGGGGTTGAATTTGTCTCAGATGTATTGACGATTCCTTATTGCTTACCATTCCTCGAGCTATCTGCCATGCAAAGCTAAGTATGTCTTTAGCAATCATATCTGATGTTTCATAAATGGTGTCGTTAACACCGCTCTCTTGGAAGTCGACATCCACGCTGTATACTTCGCTGGGAGCATCACAAGGCTGATGCAGCTCTTGCCTGAAGCAAGGTCTCGATTCTAAGTCGCTGTTTTCTCTTTCCTCTTGATCAAAGGCAATGTTCTGAATTTGGAATTCTTTTGAAGTCCTCAAATTGTAATATTTTAAATATTTTGGCTCACCGTTTCCCATTTCATTATTTGGAGATTTAATGTCATAAATTTCCTTTTCATCCCGTGTTATTTCTTTTGGATCACTCTTGAATCGTTCCTCTTCTGCGTGTAATTTCTCCAAATTTCTTGCGGTTGTCCTAACTGAAGTCTCTTCCTGCGATACTTTAGTTTCATTAGAAACATTTGAAGTCAGGCATTCAGTGCATTGGAGCTGTGGAAGCTTCATGGAGTCTACCTTTTGATAAGAGGAGAATAGTAGATGAATGACGATAATACTGAAAACAATAATGATAATGCTATTAATGTTAGAATTCATTATATTTACATCCAAATTTCAAATGTGTCTCCAATAAAAACGCTAATAGAAGAGGTATTCAAGATCGTTTTCAGTAATCTTAACACGGCAAAGGTTTACCCTGATTTTTCCTATCTAGCTAAATGCTAATGGTTACTGAAGCGCAATAGCAAAGAGACATTTCATTTCCAATCACAGAAGCATTTATAGGTGGGTGGAAGATTATTTTGCGCTCTAATTTAATTTTCAAAATGGCCACCGCACAAAATTTTCAAAATGGCCACCGTTAAAATTTCTGAGGGGCAAGATGAATACAATTCCTCTGATCATTACTTGAGTAATCATAGGAAGAAAACTACTGGAAAAATGGTAAGTAAAGAGACAGTCTCACTAACAAACAAACAGTTAATTAAAAAACCAAAGGATCGTGTTTTGAAATTCTCTTCAGCACTGTTGTGATAGTGCTGGTTTATCTCTATTATTCTCCTACTTGATTTCTCTTCTCCCTGAGCCATTTCAGCAGATCTCCATTTGGAACATACTCCAACAACAGAAGAAAAGGCTCCGATCTGATCCAGAAACCAATCATGCGAAGGACATTTACATGGCAGCCGATTTGCTTCATACGATCAATTTCCTCCAAAAACTGCTCTTTGTCTTGTTCATTTGCCAATGCTATGAAGAAGTGGTTCCAGTGATTAAAAACATTGTTTCTAATTACTTTTCATCGTTTATCGTTAATACATGTCTTTCATTTCGACTCACGTTAAAAGAAACAAAAGGTGAGAGTTATAATGTTGGTAATAGATTTAGATTTATCTCGCCCATTGAAAGGTAACAACTTTGATAGCTTGCTTCTCAAGTGATAAAATTTAGCTTTGATTTTTTAATCACCTGATACCTTCTTTGTCGAACAATCAGGAACAAAAACTGAAACAAAGGCAACGACGATGAAACCGGTTTCATAAAACTTAAACAAAGAAAACATGGATACCTAAAAACAGGAATCAAAGGCATAGGAAAAAAAATGAGCTTCAATGATCCAAGCAAAGCAAACTTTCCTCACCACTCAAAACTTTCACAGCAACAACTTTTCCGTCCTTGAATGGGACGCGCTTCTCTCGAATGTCGTGATAGAAAACATCCACTCCTGGGGATTCCCTTAGCACCCCTCTATGAACTTTTCCAAATGCTCCTCGACCCAGTTCTTCCAGTAAAGTCACCTGCTCAGGCCATATCTCCAAATGCTGAAGAGTTGTGATGTCTGACTTGGACCTGAACAAATGCACTGGTATCAGTCAAATGCGTTCAAAAGTCTACAAACTGAATAAATGTGATGTTCCTCTCCACGACAGATATGGGTATTTTAAAGCCACAAATGTAAGAGAGTATAACTGTAACAATTAAGTCATACATAATAATTAAAGTCTAACACTTGTCAGAGAGGAAGGGAAATAAAACAAACAAACGAAGGAAAAAAAGGTGGACGTCAAAGCTAAAAAGACGCAGCTGATCCGTAAATGGAGATGCCGGGAACATGTTTTCTAACTTGCGTACCTTGAAAGTTATTTCCTCACCATTTTTTCCTAGCAGTGTTACGTCGTCTGATCTTGTTTCTTCTGTGACAACTGAACACCACTAAAATCGTTAGAAACACGGAGATACATCCCAAGGTAATTCCGATTATCGGCCAGACTGTAGTGCCTGCAAGTTTGGAAGATCATTCGTCAATTAATAACCATTTGTTTGGTAATTAATTGAACTGAAAAAATGAAAATTGTGAGTAGTGGTCTGATACCAGGTGTTAAAAATAGAGAGAAGAAAGTTTAGAGAGTTTCCTATTTCTCCCTTAATGATTATCTTGGAAAACTGTCGAGTTCGTAATCAGAACTCTTCAGTATCAGTGGAACGACACATAAGTGCCCAATGGTGTACTCCAGCACCTGGCCAAGAGCATGATTTCTAAGTGGGAACTAAGGATAATATCCAGGGAACAGGACTGATTAAAGCAGCAAAGAAGAAAGAGAAGAAGGAATTGTGAAAGTAAGTTGCCTTTCCCCTCTACCTTGAGGATTTTCATGTTATTAGAGCTAAATTCACTCCACTCGCTCCATGAAAAACATGCAAAGGACTAAGAATTGGCAGGCGAAGAAAGATCAGTACAACAGGAAGAAACATGGTTCAAGCCAAACTGCGTGAAATGAAGAACAAGTGGTGGTTGGATAGAACAAGAGAACTACAAGCAGCTGGAGACACATAGGCACAATAGAACTCAAAGCTGGATATGGACCAACCGCAAGAGGAGTCTGTACTCTCTTTGACCATGATGGACGATCCTTGATTAAAGAGTCAGCACTTATTTTTGAGAGATGAGCACAGCATTTGAATTGTTTACTCAACCATTAGTCGAAAATTTCTGACCATGATCATGGAGCATGAAACAATCAAGGTAATTCGTCAACTTTTAGGCTGTAAAGCACTGGGTGAAGGTGGCATCTCACCAGAAGTGTCCAAGCATGGTGGCGACGTACTTGTGGCAGCACTTCCGGCTTTTCAAACATCTATGGCTTAAGGGGGATGTCCCACAAGATTTCAAAGATCATTCATCTGTACACAAAAGAACAAGGGATACAGAAGAGTATGTGACAAACATCGAGACTTGTTCCTTCTCAGCATTGTTGTTGAAATCTTCGCCAGAGCGATTGTCATCCGCCCAACAACACACCTTGATAGTACCTTTCCATGCGGCTTTATGTCTGGCCGAGGCACCACAGATATGCTGTTTGCCGAGAATGTAGCCATTGATAACAAAGTCACGTCACGCGTTGGGAAAGCAAGAAGCTGATTTCGGAAGATTGCACCATCGACTCTAATCAGACCAGGCTATGCACAGAGGTTGGTGTCTACAGAACGAATGTTCTGACAACATTGCTGAATGGATACGAGGCTTGGAATGATATCGCCATCAGAAAGCCTTATCAATTTCAACTGAGATGCCTTTCCAAGATCTGTGGTATATCATGGAAGGATAGGGTACCCAACGTTACTGTAATCTCTTGTAAAGGACCCCTCTGTAAAGCACGTTTGTAATGAAGTGAGTATCCTTAGTAAAGATTAGCCGCGTTACCCGTAATTGAGCGATGTAAGACTGAGGAAATCGAAGCTCTCTTCATGAAGACCCAGCTTTGATGGGCAGGACATTTTATCCTCATGAAAGACAAACGTATTCCAAAAGCTATCTTCTATAGAGAACTATCCAGTGGTTAGCGTTGTCGTGAAAGCTAATACCAGAGGTATAAAGATGTTTCTTAAAGCTTGCGACATCCCATCAACACCTGGAAAAGTCAAGCCATCAGCCGTCCAGGGAGGCGATCAACCGTGCGCGCTGCGGTTAAGAATTTTGAACTCCATCGTATCAAGCATCTCCAGGATTCCAGGACAGTCTACAAAGTTACCCATGACCAACCACATCTTCGTGTTGATTAAATCTGCCCAGAATGTTAAAGAGTCAGCCGCTATTGAATTAAATTGATCAGCCACCTTAGAAAGCACTTTAGTGATCATCAGTAACCACAACAGAGACAGGAGATTTGTCTAAATCAACGGCTCAATCCATCCAGAGAGAAGCATTAGAATATGGAAAAAGATTATGCCTTCGTTTATCGTTAGCAATATTGTTCGGGTCACATTTGAGGTAAATGATTTAACACTTGAACTTCAAGGAAAACACCCGAACAGTGGTTTATCGTCCGTCTTTTCTTGTTTCCCTTTTTAAATTGTAATTTTCAAACTCTATTTCATCTTCTTCAAATCTCCTTTCAAGTGCAGTTGGTTCAACAGTTTCTTTTGATACGACAATTACGCTGGGGATTTGCACTTCTTAAGAGCGACTTTTTTCCGAGACCGCGTGAGAGTTGGCACATCGACCGAAAAATGACTATCCTCATATTTCAGTCAGAGATGCCTTATAGTGAACTTAGAAACGTGGTAAAGTTTTTTTTCCCCAAACTTGCTTCTTT